CCTCCTCTTCCCTCCCTCCCTCTCTCTCATCCTTATGTAGACAAGGCTGTTTTGAACTTAGAGATCTGCCTACCTCTGTCTCCTGATCACTGGGCTTAAAATTAAAGGTGTGCACTGCTACGCCCAGCCTAAAGTGATATTTTTAATAACAGCATAACAAACAGGGCATCAGGCTATTTTTTGTATGTTAACTATACATGTCCCATATTCTGCCAAGTCAGATGTTTGCCAGCCAGCTGAACATACAGTAACTTTGTATTGATAGTTTTCTCTTTGTATTGATAGCTTTCTCAAAGCCTGCTCCAGTCCTGGCTGCTTCCCGGCTCCTGCCTCAGCCCGTGGTCCAACCATCCCACTTAGGATGTAGGACTTGCTGCTGCTCCTTCTTACTTCCTTACAGAACTGACTCAAAAGTCACCTTTTCTGTGAGGTCTTCCTGAAACCTATTTAACAATTCTTTTCTTCTCTCACCTAAGCACTTAATTCATGTCATACATCAGCTTGTTTTCATTTCTATAGAATTCACCACATTGAAGGTTTCACATAGTCTATTTACTTATCACTTTTGTCCATGACATCCATTTAATATTTACTCATTTATTTTGTTTTTTTTTATTAGCATATAACCATTGCAAAATACAATGTTGTTTTGCTTACTTATCTTTTATTATATATTTCCACAGGCATATGAGGGGAACACATTTTCTTTTTTCTCTTTTTTAATGTATCCAGGGCACAGGAAAGTACTTGGCATATAACAGGCACAAATACTAGCTGAAATAATGCAGGAAATATACAATGAGGACAGCTGGGCTGTACTAAGATCCATATACTCACCAGATTTTATACTTTTTTGAGAAGTCTTTGAACAGATATGAAAGAATGAGAAAATGACTTAATCTGTGGCTACTATATTGGGAATTTTGTTCTCATATTAAATAAAAGGAAGTATTAAAAATATTAAATCTTGTTTTGTAGACACATTTCTAGGTAATAATTACTTCAAGGCATTTAAATTAGTAATGTAAAGAATATTCTAATGATATGAGAAAATGACAATTCAAATTCAATTAATAGTTTTATGATGATAATTGCTAGGCTAGAACATCAGATACTCCTAACCAATAAAATCAAGAGCAGGGAAATATAATGATAATCTATGACACACAATTCCTCTATTCTTTCTACATTTTTATTTTAAACTCTTGAATTTTTATCTTTCTTATATTGGGTCTGGGCAAAGGTATTTCAGGATTGAACCCAAAGTCAGACAAGCACTTTTATTACTGGTCTACCCTCTGCTTTCTTTTCAGTTTTCATTTTGAGGCAGAGTCTCTCTAAGTTGTCCAGACTAGCCCTCCCCAGCTGCCCCTCCCCACAAATCTCTGTAGTCAAGACAGGTTTTGAACTTGTGATTCTCTTGCTTCAGACCGGGATTACTGATCTGTACTATGAGGCCCAGATTAATAGATATTTTTTGTTTTAAATAATTTTTCAAGTTATTAGTTAGCTTCATGGTATGGTTTGATATACAAAAAGTTAACAGAATATCAATTAATCAGGCCCAGATTAATTGTTTTAATTAATTTTTCAGGTTATTGGTTAGCTTCATGGTATGGTTAGAGATACAAAAACCTAACAGAATAAGATAAATTTGAATAACAAGAAGATTTTAGTTTTAAAATGGCTCTAAATATTGAAATATTTGACTACAAATATAAAAATACACATAGAACTTAAGTTAGAGAAATTATTAGCTAGTTCCCAGTTTCAAGTTGGAAACTGAAAACCAGCAAAAAAATTGTACATACTTAAGAGTTGTCTCTGGACCATGAAATTATGTGAGCCAGCTGAGCGCTGTACTTGTCTGTAGCTTAGTAAA